CTTCTGATACTATCTATTTGGAGAGAGTGTAAGATCCTGCAGGCTAAGAGCTCAGTCCTACAAGACTGTCCTCCATTCCCCCACTTTAGATAGCACTTACAAGTCCAGGATGTCACCTGTGCTTCTGACCAACAAGCTGTAGGTCAGAGGTTCCAGTGACTCCCCTCTTTGGGTTCAGTGAATTTGCTGGAGTAGCTCATAGAACTCAGGGAAACATTTATGTTTACCAACTTATTAAAGGATATGATAAAGGATACAGGTGAACATCCAGATGGAAACAATGTGTAGGTCAAAGTCTGTAGGAAGGAGCACAGAAGTTCCATGCTCTCTCCAGCATGCCACTCTTCCAGCACCTCCCTGTGTTCACCCACTGGGAAGCTCTCTGAACCCTTTACTTTTGAGATTTTTATGGAGGCTTCATCATGTAGGCGTGGCCCAATAATTAACTCCATTTTTAGCCCTTCTCAAGAGAATGGGCAAGGGCTAAAAACTCCCAGCTTCTATTCATGGTTGGGTCTTTCCAGTGACCAATCCTCATTCAGGAGCCCACCCACAGTTGCCAGAAGACTCCTGGTACTGACTCATATCACTCAGGAAACGACAAGGGTATCAGGAGCCCTATATCAGACACTGGAGTCAAAGACCAAATAGTTGAACAAAATACGTTCCTAGTGCACCTGTCAGTTAGGAAATTACAAAGCTTTCAGGAGCTCTGTGCCAGGAACTAGGGGCAGAGACCGCTATGCATATTTCCTGTTATTTCACAAGTACCAAGGGAGATCCTCATAACATGTAAGGAGAGAGGGGTCCTAACAGATTTTAAAGTGTTATAAAGCTGTAGAATACTTTCAGAAACTAGAGAGTTCCTATAAAAAGTAGATGATTGAACACGTATTATCTCCTCTATTCATTGTGACATTTTTACAGTTTCATAAAAAGATATAAAGCACATGGACAAAGAATGGCAGGGATACAGGGAACAAAAGAATGTGATAGCTGTTTGGAAGATGGGGTAGATGGGTACATTTTGTAAAGGAACCAGTGTGAACAGAGCCATTTGACCTGGAATAATCCTAGAAAATGAGGGACTATATAAGGAAAACATATGGTCAAGATCTATATATAGGAAACACTTGACCACTATGTAACTAAATAACCAAAATGCCTATCTTATGGCCCATTCCAGTTCATACTCAGGCAAGAGACCAGAATTTTAATTTACTGGAAAACAGTGAATGGGAAAGGAGCAGAATTTATGAAAATATGACTAATAGAGAGTGAGGATGAAAAAAAGGGGATTAATTAAGTCTGCTTTGGAGAATGATTAGGCAGTGACCACCAGTCCCCCACCTCCAAGTACCTCCCTGCCCCTGCTTATAAAACATTTTGCTGAGGTTTGAGTGCCAGCTCTGTTTTGAACAGTTGCAAGCCATCTTTCTTATCTCTTAAGCGGACCTGTTAGTATAGCTACGTTAGCTTTCCTTTAGTTATTAATTGTATATCTTTTTTGTGTAAGTCTTTTCTGTATCTTTATGTTTTATAAGTATCTCTCATGAACAGCATGAAGTTAAGTTTTATTATCCAGTCTAAATATCTCTCTTAACTGGAACTTTTAGAACCTTAAGGATATAAATGATTTATATCAACCTGTCCCAGATTTGGCAAGTGGGACCCTCATCAAGCCTTCTGTGTTGTCTTGACATATCTCTATCATTGTTTGAGTCCTTCTTTCTGGCATAACCAGGTGTTTCAGGCTCATCTTGTACTTTTCTCTGCCCACCCCTGAAATCAGCCATTTTTTTCCAAGGACCCCTGCTTCCTTTTAGTGGAGAATGGTATGTAGAAATGTTGGATTAGTTACAGAAGATGAAGGAAAATAAGTTGATATTTACAAAGACCAAATATATTAGTGCACAAACATACACAGCAAAAACTTAAACTGAGCCTGCCTTTCTAACAGTTATGGAATGGGTAAGTAATCATTTGACATCTATACAATAACTATTCTCCAGACATAATGAAATAGAGAAATGTTCTTCATGAAATGTAAGATGCAAAACTGTCTATGTAATGTACTGATGCATCAAGGAAAGACTACAGGGAGATACATTTAAGTTTTCAAGTGGTTATCTGTGAGTGTTGGGATCAGACTTGGCTTTGATTTGAGGTTTTTGCTTTTTCATGTTATCTCAGCTTTTTCTTATAAGCTTGCATTGTATTTATGGTCAAGGAAAAAAATACATCTTTGCTCGATCTGTTAAGTTCATTAATAGAATATGAAGGAACATAACAGTTGAGAAAGTAAAGAACTCCTTGAAGAGTGTGTCATGTTTTATTCATCTTTATATATCCAGAGCCAGACTGGATACTTCATAAGCATTCATTTAAAAAGTGGGTGAGGAGGTTTCTTTGAATATCTTCCCCAGCTTTCACATGAGTCTGTCTGTTTTTATATTTGCTGTCTGGATTATAAAGACTTTTCATATTTTAAAAAAAAGTGGGTGACTAGGTAATAAATATGAAAAACCACTCAGCCTTAAGGAAATGCAAATTCAACTATGTATGGCCAATCATTTTCCCCTTACCAATTAGCAAATAAGCTGTTTAATAAAAATGCTTATTGTATGTTTCCTTTTTAAGGCAGATTTTTTTGAGGTATAATCAACATATAAAATTTGTCCTTTTTAAAGTGTATAGTTTATGCATTTTAGAAGCTTGATAATCATGTAACCACTACCTTAGCAAGATGTGGACAATTTCTATCATCCCAAAATCAAGGGAACACGGGGAAACATCAGGGTTCTTTCCTCTCATGCCCAATACCTGGTATTCACTGTTTTGGTTTCTGTAGCTGTAGTTTTTCCCTTTTCCAGAATATCATGTAAATAGAATCATAGTTAGTTGCTTTTTGTGTCTGACTTCCTTTACTTAACATAATGCCTTTGAAATTCATCCATATTGCTGCATGTACCAGTGGTTTATTTTATTTTTTAAATTAACATTCCATTTTATGGATACACTGTATTTTGTTTATTCATTCAGTGGTTGATGAATAAACTGGTTTATTCATTCAGAGGTTGATTGAGGTTGTTCCCCAATTACTATGATTATGAATAAGGTTGCTGTAAACACTGATGTGGCCACACCTTTTCATTTCTCTTGGGAAAGTATCTAGTGATGGAATTGATTAGTCACATATGATGCATGTGTGTAAAACTTTACCAGAAACTGACAACCTGTTTTCCAAAGTGATTGTACCATTACATTCCCACTACTTGGTAAAGTGTTGAAACACATATTTATCATTGCAGTTATGTGGGAAAATGTTACATCTCTCTTGGAAAGCATCTTGACAGTTTGAATCAAGTCAGTAAAAATGTTTATTCTCTGACCTGGAAATTCCACCGCAAGGAATGGCTTTTGTAAGGGTAAATCTGAAATACGCACAAGTACTATTTGTAATAGATGGTAAAATACATCAAAACTGTATGGGTTGCTGTTGGATGGTAAAATCTCAGTTACTTAACTGTATATTCAGTGGTATGCTGGGCATTATGATGGATTTAAAAGAAACTTAAAACTGTTCTTTTACTCATGTAGTTTATAATCTAGTTGAAAACCAGTGTTAATTACATTAAAATAATCAGTGAGCAATGCAACATTGCATTAAATGAGTTTTAAAGTACGCTGTGTTAAGGGAATGAGCAATAGGGCTGGAAACTGATTGATTATGTTAAAACTTGGTTTTTGCAAGTTTTTGGAGCATGGGGCAAAGCATGAGTTGGAGCTTTCTAGGTGGGACACAACATGAGTAGAGGTAAAACATGGCCCGAGTATGTAAGAATCACTGGCGTGTCTTTATGTAGATACAATAAAATATTGGTGGAGGTTTTTAAAATAATGGAGCAGGAACATCATATGCTTTAGAACCGGAAAGATTTTGCTTTGAGGCTCTGTACAAAGGCTTCAGGATGGTCTAGGGCAAAGTAGGTACTCAGTAAATGGTAGCTGCTGTCATTTTAACTAGTACTAATAAAACAGGAATTTAAGCCTGACAGAGTAGTTTCATAGGGAATCACTGTATCTTTTTAAAAGAGCACTAACATAAGTAATAATTCATTTTCATAGTCATTTTTTCTAGTGGTTTATATAGGGTAAAAAAGATGAAAGAAGAAAACCTTTTTAACCCTAAGTACATTCTACAGAGTGGTGAACCTTTTGGGAGAAGGAACTTTTTCCTGTTTATTACTTTTAGCTCCTGTGATTAGCACGTCATGTGGAGTGGGGTGGTGATTGGTCCTGGGATTTATAATTAACCCAATGAAAGGTAAAGAGAAGATTGTCAAGGAAACTCATTAAAAAAGTTGTAAGAGCTGTCACTTTCTTAGTGCCTCCTATATGCCAGATGTGTCTGTTACCTCACATTAAAGTCATATAACAGATAGGGCAGAGTTAGTGACTTTCCCATAAGCACACAGTTAGTAGGCATTTGAGCTGAGATGTGAACTATGCACTTAGACCAGCTCTAGTGTCACCTCTCCCTTCCAGGAAGCCTTGCCTGTAATTTGCCCACACTCTAGCCTACCCTGCTTGTGGACCCTTCTGTGTGTTCACTTGATATTCAGTATGTAGCTGCAGTTTTGCATTTACTTGTGGTGCTACAATTACAGTATACCTTTGGAATTTCAGGACTTGGTGTTCTCTGATTCAGCTACCCCTTCAATAACTTAAAAATTACGTGTATAAGGCCCATTATGTGGAGAGTCAGAGTGCAGAGCTGGTGTACTGGAGGGACTCAGTCCTCATGAGTGTATGTCACTCAAATGTCAGTTGCTGGGCCAAAGTTTCAGGAGTCTGGATACATGTCCTTGGCATGCAGATGTTCGTCACTTTTTACGTTTATTTCATCCACTACCCATTCAACTTGGAGTTTAGTCTGACACAGCTACCACTGCATGTTTATATTCAAGTAATTCATTCATAGTATCTTTAAACCATAGGTCCTCTGCTGTACCACTTTGAAAATTTGGCAAATGAGCTTTCCATAGAACTGAGCTATGAAGATATAAAAAATGTTGTTCTACAGTATGGATTCCAGGTAGAGGTAAGGACGGAATGAAGTATTGCCAAAGTTTAACTTTCAAAGCACTTAAACAGGACTAGTAATAATATGGTAGTTATAGGCTTTACCTCTTAACCTCTGTGTTCTCATCCATAAAGTGAAAATAACAACACTCAGTTAGCTTTTAGAGTTATAAGGGTTTGGGATAATGTATATTTGGAAAACTATAATCCCTGGTGTAATCTCCTTTTAATAAATAGTAGTTGAACGTTAATCACAATATTGGCTTGTGTAGACTGATAAATACCAAGTAGTCTAGGGCCTGGTGGAGCAGAGAGGAGTATAAGGGGAGTAAGAGGAATATCTTTCACTATATGTACCTTTGCACTGTTCAGTCTCATACACTATTATAAAGTTCTCTGATACTTTGTGTTTTAGTTGTATTTATTTACAAGCACTCCATTCATTTTTTAAATAAACAACAGATTTGTTCTTAAAATTAAAGAGAACAATATATTATAGTAGTTTAGAGTTAAGTTCTAGAGTTAGACTGCATTGCTGTGAATCCCAGTTTTACCACTTACAGCAGTGTGACCTTTAGCAAACTGTTCTTTGTAAGGTGGGATTACTAATAGTGTCAGCCTTAGGGGGTACTTGGATGTAATAAATGAATTAGTACACAGAATATGTTTAAAGCAGCACCTGTGCTCAGTATTTGTTAGAGTTATCATCATGGTCATCATCATTATTAAGGTTATTATTTGCATCGCAGGTGGAAAAAGAATCTGTCTTGTCAACATATACTGTGAATGATCTCTCCATGATGAAATACTACTATGAATGTGTCTTATTTGTGGTCCGTAAACCACAATAACAGTCTGAAGTGATATCACCAGGAAAAAAAGTTAAGTAAGAGCAAATGCTGAAATAAACAACTCAAAATCAGCTTCACAATGACAGGACACAACCTCAAATCAGTGGTGCCTTCTTATTCCTAACAAAATTTAGAAATAGTGTCTATTTTCTTAATATGTCTATTGCTTTTTCAGAAATATACTATGCCATACATATTTGTACTACCCAAGTAGAAATGGAGATGTTTTAAAGTGTACTTTTTCCTTGAGGCCCAGAATTGTCTTTCAGTAGGAAAAATGCTATCTCCAGTGTCTTCATGAAGCTGTCCATTGCAAGTATGCCATATTAATGACTAATAGTATTGATGTCCATAATAGTCTTTTTTGTTTCATATTATGCATTGTATTTCATGTTATTTTTAGAAGAGTCTAAGGATCTTCTCTCATATGCAACATCTGGACTTGGGACTTCTGTTCCTAAGCAATCTATACATAAAATATGTGTCTATTCTTTTATCATTCAAATTATTTGATCTTATTTTTTCTAGCTCAGCTGAACTTAGAGAAGCATAAACATTTCATTTTTATGAAATGCTAAATTTAATAGGCTCACAGAACAGAAAAATGCATTCATTTGAGAAATTAGTAAATCTTTTGGCCACACTAAACTGAACACTTTGTGAATGCACTCGTCATGAATCACTCAAATGTATGAGATCTCAACATTCTAAGTGAGACACAGAAGCCTTTATTAAAGGTACTGCTAGTAAACTGGAGAAATAAGAATAGAATCTGCCCATTTTAAATATAAGATTTCGAACTATAAATGAACAGAGTTTGTCAGATGTTTACAATAATGTCTTTAGATTATCTGGATGACAAAAGCAAGCACTTTCTTTTGTTAAAACAGTTCTATACTAGTAAAAACTGTCATGATGGTATTACTCTGGGGAAATTTTGAGTATGAAATTCAGGGATAAATTACGGCCCGTGGTCTTATGTCTTCAATATTGTAAGCAGCAGCTATTGTTGTACTTTCAGATAATACTAATAATTTTCCCTGATAGCTGGAGCTAAAACAGTACATGCTGCTTTAAATTTCTACCTCTATCAGATCTTTATTGAGGGAGTTTTCCTTTGTATTTTGGGTGTGTGTGTGTATGTGTGATTCTGTTTCTAGTGGTTTGGAAAGTAGAGATGACTAATGTTTTAACCTTTTCTTGGAGAAAAGGAAGTATTCTTGTTGAGTATTTTCACAGATGATTCTGATGGCATTAAATGGCCTCTGTGGCAATTTAGATTAAGTAGACAATCTCAATAATGTGCTGGTAGGATAATGTAATTTAATGGAAAATTTGTACATCTTTAGACCTTTATTGTCAGTTAGATTGGAGTCACTATGTGATTTGCAATCTTACTAGTAGGACTTTTCTGCATACAGTAAGGGAGTTTTGTGGCCTTTATTCCCATTCTGCAGTGAAGGATTCTATGAAGTTAATTTGACTTTCTAAATTATGGATGCCTGTAAACTGAATTTTTTCTTAAAAAATGACTTCTCTTTTTGTGTCCCTCAATACTTGGCAGATGTTCATCAGTGGGAATTACCATTACCTACCACATGAATAAACTTGAAGTTAATTGCAAGAGAAAAAATCCCCAAATTACTATTTTTTAGAAATAACAGAGACTTAAAAGGAGGCTAAGTATTTTAGAAAATCAATTGAAAGGAAAGGTTTGCATGTTATGTTTGAGTAATTTAGAAAGGCTTTTTATTCACTGAGTAGTACTTTTCTACAGTGCATATCAAAACGTATGATCTTGTTTTTCTTATAGAGGCAAAAATTGGTTGAACCTGTTGGGTTGACTTTGTTACTTAAAATTTTCCCTATCAGGCTTTATTCTTTAATAAATATTAAAGAATAATATTTTGTTACTTATATTTCTAAGTTATAGCTTATATTTTAGTTAATTCTGAAATAAGTTATTTCTTTTTATTTCTCCCTCATATCATAAATAATGTTTTCCAGATGTTCCAACTTGCATCACTTTTTCATTTATAACTTAGCAGTTAATATATTCTGAACTTGAAAATCGTGGTATCAATGAAAGTATCACTGGAGGATTTAATTTTGTATTCTCTTACGTGTAGTCCTAGCTACTAGTGTGTAAGCCTTTATGTTTTTAATTTTCTTAAATTAGCTCTATACACAGATGTTCTCATTCACTTTCATAAAGCAGGAGGATAGGTCATTGTGCTTGCCTTTTTTTTCCCAGAATCTGAAGAGGTGCAGGTTAGGGCATGTTAATCAAGTGAGCAAAATGGGTGGGATATGTAACGTATAAAGAAAATTATGAAGTTTGGGAACTATAAAATGTATTTATATGTAATTCTCATTATAAAAGTTACCACAAAGACTATTGGAAGCTTCATGTCTGCATGAAATTTCCTATATTTTTAATGTGTATGATGGACTTAATTTTTCTTGAATATTAAATCTTCCAATTGCTTTGAAACAGTATTTGCTTGGTTATTTCATCTAAATTAGACATGGGAATTTTAACTAATTGATCACATGTATTTTTGAATCCTTGGGTTATCCCATTCTTAAATGCTTCTATAAAGTCAATGATAAGAGTATAGTTAACCCTTGAACAACATGGTTTGCACTGCACAGGTCCATTTATATATGAATTCTTTTCATAAATACTGTACAGTACTGTAAATGTAATTTTCTCAGGATTTTCTTAACATTTCCTAAGGCTTTATTTTTTTATGTTTTTTTCTTTTTTTTTTATTGAAGTATTATGGATATACATTCTTATGAAGGTTTCACAAGAAAAACAGTTTGGTTGCTACATTCACCCACATGATCGAGTCCCCCCCACACGCCATTGCAATCACTGTCCATCAGTATAGTAAGATGCCACAGAATCACTACTTGTCTTCTTTGTGCTACACTGTCTTCTCCATGACCCCGCACACACCATGTGAACTAATCATAATAGCCCTCAATCCCCTTCTCTCTTCTTCCCCACCTGCCCTTCCCCATTCCTCCTTCCTCACCCCTCCCCTTTGGTAACTGCTAGTACCTTCTTGGAGTCTGTGAGTCTGTTGCTGTTTTGTTCCTTCAGTTTTGCTTTGTTGTTACACTACACAAATGAGGAAAATCATTTGTTATTTGTCTTTCTCTGCTTAAGGCTTTATTTTAAGAATACAATATATATAATACACACAGCATACAAATACATATTAATCACCTATTTATGTTATTGGTAAGGCTTCTAGTCAACAGTAGGCCATTAGCAATTAAGATTTTGAAAAGTCAAAAGTTCCATGTGGATTTTCGACTGTACAGGGGCATCGGTGCCCCTTGCCCCTGCATTCTTCAAGGGCCTGCTGAACTTGCTTTGAGTATACTAGGCTGTATACTATTTAATCCTGATCTTTGGTTTTGTTAAGTAATAGGGAAAGAACTATAAAGGAAACCAGCAGAGGAGAGTTCCAGTACCAGTCATTAGTAGGACAAGCACTGGACTTGGCCCTTGGAAACTTGGGCTTCTTTTCCTAAACTGTCATTTGTGATTGCAGACAAGGTACTTGGAGTTTGTTCTCTCATCTGTAAGAGAAGATTGGTACCAACTTGTATCAAAGGGTTTTTATGAGGTCATATGAATATGTGAAATATATGTGAATAGGTGAAAGTACCCGGTAGACAATTAAATGTAAAAAGAAAAAGATGAAGATTGGTAACAGGACGTTAGTTCTAATAATGTTGTGATGACCTTTTGAAAAAAGTTTCAGTGAAATCCTGGGTAAAAAGGGCAAGATGATAGATATATATGTAGATTCTTGAGTATTAAACTTTGTGGGAATGATAAAGATAATGGGAGGGAACAAGCAAAATTTACTGGTTACAAACATGCTAGTACATGCCTTTTACATACATTTATTACTCATTAGTTATTTAGAAGGGGAATTATTTAGTCAATGTATTTTTCAGTCAATGGTATTTTCAGTCAAGTTTCCTTTCAAACAGACTTACCGATTTACATGCTGTCAACAATGTCTGAGAATAACTATCCATTCTCTGGCCAGTACTGGATATTGCTAAGCTGTTCGTTTTTGTCAATATGACAGGAAAAAAGGTATTTAGTTTTAATATTCATTTATTTAACTATAGGAAGATGAGCATTTGGTTTAATGACCAAAGAGGGGTGTCTTTAACCTGCCAGTCTTTTTCCTGGCAGCCCAGACAGGCCATTGACAACAACCTAAATGATTGTACAAATGCAGCAAGGTTCATATAAGGGAAATCAGCCAGCGTCACGAGGGGTGTGAGTGCTGTACTGCAAGGAGTGGCACAGCTGCTTCTGGTTTCCCACATCTGTGCTGAGACTGAACAGTGGCAGCAGCCCACTGGATCCCCTTAGGTTTCAGCTCAGCCAACCAGTGATTCAGGCCCTGGGGTTCAGGAAATGTCTGAGTCAAGAGCCCCAGTGAGCCAGGCACTTTAGGCAGTAAAGTGGGGCACAAAGTTTACACCAAAAAGAATAGTGGCTACTTTTTCATTGCACCTAGAGCCAGGCCAGCTACACTCTTGAATGTGCAATTTCCATTTGCCTTGCAAGGCTTGTGAGGCCCTAAAACCTGATGAGTCATCAAGGCTGTTGACCAACTCCCAAACTAGGATGTCAAACCAAAGAATTGAGGCCTCCAACGGGTCATGCATTCGGTCTCAAAAGCTTAGTAGCAGATGAATAGCTGCCTTCTGTGCAAAGGTGTATTTGGTGACTGTGCCCGGCAATTGAAGCTATGGCCATGGCCTAATTGTGCAGCCATTAAATCTTTGGAGCTGCAGTTTCTCTTTCTCCCCCTGGAATTCTATATTGTTTCTGGCTGGACCACCCAGGAGGGGACAGTGCAGTAGTCCTTAAATGTGACACAGTCGAAGGGGAAGTTCAGGCATATAATACATCAATTCCATTACACATATGTCGAATTGGTCCAAAGGTCCTTGGTGATAGGTTACTTTTGGTGTCTGGCTCCTGGTCAACCTCCTGATTTTTCAGGTCTTAACATAGGTTACAAAAGATTTACCTGACAGGCTCACAGGACAAAGCTGCCTTCTCCATACCAGACCTGGTGCACAGCCAGTGCATTACTATCTCTAAAGGAAGCTGCTGTCAATGACCCAGGTCCCCCACCAGCCATACTCTTACACAGAGCTGCAGTCCCAGCTCAGTGCCTCCTTTTAGCATCTCTTACCAGGGGCTGTCACAGTGACTTTCTGCAGGTGCCTCTACTGAGACCTCTTACGAGGGGAAAATGGGCGGAAACTTAAAACATACTTTTCTCCACTGTGCCTCAGTACTTTAAGCACTCCTAGCCCTTCCTCCTCTTCCCCACCCCTTGTCTACACCTGCAGGAGCCTATTTGGAGTGCCCTTGGCAGTGAAACCCCGGGCAGGTCCGGGTGGATCCACCTGACCTTTGACTGGTGTGCTGTTCCAAGGGGAAAACAGAAGGGAGGAATCTGTGCTTTGTTTAGCCTCTTACAGTGTCACAGTAAGTGATTGGAGGCCTGATAGTTCATTTCATTTTGGCTCATTTTAACTGGCTGTTCTAATACTTGGCAGCTCAGCTCTCTCTGGCTCAGATGAGCTTTTAAATGATTTCAACTTCCCTTACCCACTCCGTGCCCTGTTCAAATTCTTAGTTGAATTCAAGTGTCTTTTTTCACTATGGAATCACAAACCAAGAATTTCAATACGTGAACTGGGGGCCATCGCACAGCTACTAGGAGACCAAGTTACCCCAACAGGAAGCACAGGGTGGTGGGGGAGGCTAGTCCTAGGGGACAGTGGGAACATGGTCATGGGAGATCTGATTTTTTCATTTATGTATGGACTCCAGGGTTGATTCCCTAGCACAGCTCCTGCTTCCTCCCCCATGTGCTTCCAGCATCCATTGAGCACCCAGCCTCCAGGGCTCCTTCCTCTCTGCCCACACCCATGCCAGTGTGCTCTGGCCTGTAAGTCTTCCAGCCTTGCCCACCCTGGCACTCAGAACCCCCGCCTCTTACCAGCCATGGTGGGCTGTGGTAGGAACCAGGGCTTCACAGAGACAAGGCTTTCACTTCACTCATAGTTGAATCAAAAGAACTTGTTTTCAGGCCACCCGAAGCTCTATATGGAGTTACAAAGCCCTGATAGCTGATAGTAAGATTTCTTTCTCACTTGTCCCACTTTCTTTTTTCCTCTTTCCATGCCACCTTCTGGACTATTTTCTTGATTTCATCTCTATTATTGGCTTATTATTTACAACTCTTTATCCAAAAACAGGTCTTAATGGTTTCCCTAGGGTTTACATCTGTAACTTGTCAGTCTACCTTCTAAGTATTATATCACTTTTGGGAACTCCTTTGCCTCAGCAGCCATAGCCCTACTGCCGTTTGGCTGGGGCCACAGAGCTTACTGCTCTAGTGCCAGGATAACATCCTTTTCCTCCTGCCTAAATGAGGGAGCAAAGATCAAGGTAGCATTTGGGTGACTTATTCCCATCCTTTCTCCAGCTGCTCAGCATCACGGATAGGATGTAGGGGATTCACTACTTCCCTGCACAGTTACCATTGGGCAGGCGCATTTGCTGTTGGGTCCTAGGGTGTCCTATATTCCTGAACTGGCCTTCAGGGCCTGTCCTTCCTAACCTGTAAAGCCATGTCTGTCAGCATCCTAGACTTGTCAACAAAACTGTTCAGTGTTCAGTTTGGGATTTGATTTTATCCTATTTACAAGTAAATAAGTTAGGCTATTACAGTTTTGTGGATGCTGCCAGAAGACATTAAAATTACACAGTAGTCGGGTTCCTGTGTGCCCTTCACCCACCTTCCCTCCCAGTAACATTTCATGTATCTATAATACAGTACTCAAAAGCATGAAATTGACATAGGTATTGCTATTGGTAATACACTGGTGTTAATAAACTATAGACTTTATTTGGGGTTTACCAGTTTATGCATGCACTCTTTTTAAAAAATCCTTTTAAACTATCTTCTTTATATTTAAAGTGTGTTTCTTATTGACAGTATATACCTGGGTCTGACTTTTTTAGTCAGTCTGATGCCTATCTTTTATCTGGGTGTTTAAACCATTTACATTTGTAAAGTACTTACTGATATGGTTGAATTTAAATCTACCATTTTGCTATTTTCTACTTGTCCCACTTTCTTTTTTCCTCTTTCCATGCTGCCTTCTGGACTCTTTTCTTGATTTTGTCTCTATTATTGGCTTATTATTTACAACTCTTTATCCAAAAACAGGTTTCAGTGGTTTCCCTAGGGTTTACATATTTAATTTGTCTACCTTCTAAGTATTATAATCACTTCCTGTAGTGAAGAACTATACAGTATACTTCTAATTCTTCTCCATCATTCATGCTATTGTCATACATTTTGCTTTTTATGTAATAAACCTCAGAACACATTGTTAGTATTTTTGCTTTACACGGACTTCTTT